AAGATGAACGTTTATGATCATGATCTCCATAAACATTGACTGGGCTGTAGAGGAACAATTCTTGATTTGATCCAGTGATTTATAAAAAAAAAAAAAAAAAACGGATAATGGTTAGGAAATTAGTATAAATTAATTACTAGCAACTAGAGATCGAATCCTCAGGTCAGGTAAACATTCCACTCCCTCAAATGAGACGCGCGACCATTAGGTCGGTTTTGGTGGAGTTCATGACGATGGTAGAATTCGAAACTCCAACCACCTCACCCAACCACTTAAGCTTAGGGTCCAACCATTGGGTTTAAAGGTTCGGTTCCATACACACATCTTTTTAATTCATTCCGTAATTAACGGAATGGTTAAAATGGGCCTGAATGCTCAGGACATTTGAAGTGGGGGACCTAATAGCAGATATGGGCAATTGGGCTTTGCTTAAATGGAACGGACCCCTGCTGGATATTAGTGGACTTTCACCTCCCCTCTTTACCAAACAAAAAAGGAATAATTCATTTACACTGATATCAAGAATTTGCAAGGAAGCACCTCTTGGTGACTTCCTCCAAAGATTAAACCTAAATCAACAAAAGGTGGCAAACTCCCACATTATAAATTCTCTATTCTCATATTTCTAAATTACCTTCTTGTAGAGAAAGGTTTGTAAGGGAGACAATGAGAATTTTTAATGAAGACATTATTGTTGTTATTTTTTAGAATGGCAGTTGTTGGTGAAATGGGATATAGAGGATATGTGGGTAAAGAAAATCAAACAAACCTTGTGGTTTGTTTGTCACACCTTTGAGAGCAAATGACAAACTATTGCTCTACCATCAGGTAGTCATGAATCATTAATTGTTGTTATTTAAATTCAAATTATTTGTTATGGAAACAAAAACAATGATCTTTGACAATTAAAAAATATTCAAATAATTTGAAATTCTTTCATCAAATATGTGATCCATTTCAAAGATAATTTCAGACAAACACAACCTAAAGTACATATCTAAAAATAAAAAATTAACTATAATAATATTAGCATGCAAATTACCATGAAATGCTTATTCTGTTTATATAGTCATTGGTTAATTAAGAATAATTATATATTATACATACATTTTTAGAAGTGATATGATCTTTGACAATGATAATAATTATTATTATTTAAAATTATTTGAATTAAGTATATATTTTAAAATTATAATAATTAATTTTATATTAAAAATTGTATTGAAAATTTTTTAAATTTCATTTTTAGAGAATTTTTTAATTGAGATAAAATTACTAATAACTTAAAAATTTTGTCATTGATAAATTTGTGATGATTTTTTCTGTTACATTAATTGTCTGTTTGAAAATATGATTTTGATACAATGTCTTTGAATTCTAATCCTTTAAATTCAATATTATTATTTATTTTTACATAAATAAAATGTAATTAAATTTCAATAAAATACATGTATTTCACTATGAATATTTAAAATGGATAAAAACTATATATTTCAAATCCATACTCCGACACATGAATTTCAATTTAAAAGTGTATTTACTCTGCACTTTCTCTGAAACGCAGACGGCGATGAAGCCTCCATCGTCACTTTTGTTCACCATCGACTTTGCCGTTGCTTTCTCACCTTCTTGTCTGGGGAAAGGCTCTGGATAGTCTTCTCTAGATCTTCCATGGCGACTTGCTACGTATCCCGATCCGATAGCTTGGAAAGGGAAGTCAAAATGCACTCCTTCAGTTCTACCATGGCGAGGTGAGAAGAAAGAGACGAGGATTTTACCTAGGTCGACGAGGAAGATGAAGTGGTGCTGGCGGGCTTTGTGGGTTTTGAAGATTCGGATGCTTGGGTACTACTCATTGTGAGAAAAACGAAGAAGAAAGATGATTTTTATTTATTTATTTATTTTTTTACAAAAGTGGGCTCAGAGAAGGAAACGGAGAAATGGGGTTGTTCTACTGAGTGAAAAAGAGATGAGGTTTTGCAACCATTACAGAAACACCATGAGAAAATGCAGATTACAGACGAAGTACCCAAATTTGATATTTGCAAGGAAAGGTAATTTCTGGGTGATTTAGGTGAGGTTGCAGAGATGGATGGGATGAAGTGGGTGAGATTTATGAGGGAAATACAATACCAAAAATAATCAAAATTAAAATATTAAAAAAAGGGAGGGATTTTTTTAAATTTCATGTGACCATGAGTTTCAATTTCAAAAGTTTTGTATCTTTCTCAACAAGTAACATTCAAGATGTTCCAATTATTTTTAAATGATAATTTTAAAGAGTTTTATTTGCTAAATTTACGTTTGATGACAAAAAATATATGATTCATTGGCTTTCCTTCTAAGTTTAGGTTATTGATAAATTTGATACACGCACATATAATTGTTGCTAAATCTCATTTTCTAAATTAATTTACAAAATTAAAAAAAAAAAAACTTTTTTTACCTACATTTTAAATGGTTGCTGTAACAATTTTTTTATAACAATTATAATAGTTGCATAATAAATCTTTTACCGACAACTCAACATGGTAGAGAGATTTTTATATCCCATGTAATAGGCTTGTCCTCAATACTATTTTACAAAATAATTTATGATGTAGAGAAATTTTCTTTTTGGTAATAATTGTAATCGTTGTGAAAATACACTTTTAATAATGACTAATTTAGTTGCATAATTTTTTTTTGTAACAATATTTTTTGGGTATTGAACTTACTTTGCATAACAACTTATTTTTGTTGTAAAATTATACTTTAGGTAATGACTTATGATGTTGTTATAAAATAATTTTAGTAATGATAAATATAGTTATTAAAAGTTAATATGACAACCATTATTATGTTGCTACTATTATTTTTTACCTACGGATATATATCGTAGGTATTTTGTTTTACTTACTATTTTTTAAATGTAGGTATAGGTTCATTAATATTTTATCTGCGATATATAATATTGTAGGAATATGTACATTTGCGTAGTTAATTATTTATAGTTACAGGACATATAGTTACATTTTTTTCTCTGTATATATAGGCCTCGAATGGAATGTACCTACAGATTTTGATCATATACATACAAATTTTGTCCGTAGCTAAATGGCAAAAATGCTGTAGTGATGGTTAGTTTAGTGATTAATTGGTAAATTTGTTTTTAATTGCTTGTTTTGGTTGAGTCTTATTCTTGAAGTTGATTTATGTTAATTTGTTGAGTTTTTCTCCTATTTTTTAGGTTGATTTATGTTAATTTGTTGAATTTTTCTCTTATTCTTAAGGCTGACTTTGAGTTAACCTTATTTTTCAACCTTGCAAGCAATATTTAGAGGAGTCATGAAAGCAATTTGATTGTAAATTGTCCTTTAACTTTTCTAAAGGGAATACCAAAACATTAGTTGTTATGCAAATATAATTGATAATTATTTTAGATACTACTTTGTTCATTTATTTTTCATAGTGAAATTCTTCCATGATAAGTCCATCCTTGTGGAAATTGAATATTGTATATGATAATGAAAAAATTGAACAAAAAATGGAGAGCATAAAGACAAATTGATTAGTAGAGATCATTGTTCTTTTTTTTTTTTATCCAATTTGTTTGCCTCGAGATAATTTAAATAATGCTTTGGAAGACTAAAATTATTAATTTTAGTCTTATTAAATTTAAATAATGATTAAAAGAAAATTTAATTTAATAGAAAAAATTCAATTTTAAATGCATAATAGTTTAATATATCCAAACAATATATTTAAAAATATATGTATTTGAAATTCATTTTTTTATTTGATCCAAACAATGTATTTTAAAATCATGTATTTTAAATATATATATTTAAATACATCTATTTAAAATATATATTCTAAATACAAATACATGTTTCCAAACACAACCTAAAAAATTTTGTTTTTTGTGATGGAATATAGATGTTACAAAAAAAGATTATTTGTGTCCAATTATTTTATTACAAATAATAATCTTAATTGTGACATATATAAACGATATGAATAAACTAATAATCGTGTCTATTTTTTTTTTCACTAAAATCATGATTTTTTTGTTATGATTGCAACTAAAAATATAAGTTTTTGTGACTAATTCACTACAAAAAAATTCACATTTAGTGATTAAATTATTGATCATTAAATCTTTATTTTTCGTTATAAATTATTATTAGTGATAAAATTTAAATCGTTAGTAAAACCCTTGTCACTAATGCTCTTAGTGATAAATTAAACACATTTCATAGAAAATAACTTTATAGTGATAAAAAAAATTGAAATTATTAACAAGTTATTCATAACAATTTTATTCGTCACAAAAAAAATATTCGTCACAAATGCATTTATGGTGCAAAATTTAATCATTAATTATTAAAATTGATATTAAATAAAAAAAATATTTATATAATTACAACACAAATATTTTAACAAAAATTTTATCACAAAAAAATAATATATAAATTTATCACAAAAGTTTAATAAAAAATATTATTATTTCAATACTAATTAATTTTGATTAAAATTAATC